AAGGCTCAAATAAATAAAATCAGAAATTAAAGAGGAGAAATTACAATGGATACCACAGAAATACAAAGAATTATTATAGAATACTATGAAAAGCTATATGCCAACAAATTGGATAATCTAGAAGAAATGGAGAAATTCTTAGAATTATGCAACATTCCAAAACTGAATCAAGAAGACATAAAGAATCTGAATAGACAGATCAATACCAAGGAGATCAAAACAGTAATCAAAAACTTCCCCCAAAACGAAAGTCCAGGACCAGACAGCTTCCCTGGTGAATTCTACCAAACATTCAAAGAAGTTTTAATACCTATCCTTCTCAAACTCTTCCAAATAATTGAAGAGGAGGAGATGCTTCCTAACTCATTCTATGAGATCAACGTTACCCTGATACCAAAACTAGACAGGGACAACACAAAAAAGGACATTACAGGCCAATATTGCTCCTGAACAGAAATGTAAAAATCCTCAACAAAATATTAGCAAATCGAATACAACAAAACATTAAAAGGTTTATACAGCATGATCAAGTGGGATTTATTCCAGGGATGCAAGGATGGTTCAACATCTACAAATCAATCAATGTGATACACCACATTAACAAAATGAAGGATAAAAATCACATGATCATCTCAATAGATGCAGAGAAAGCATTCGACAAGACATGGCATCCATTTACGATAAAAACTCTCAAGAAAATGGGTATAGCAGAAAGTACCTCAACATAATGAAGGCCATTTATAACAAACCCACAGCTAACATCACACTCAATGCTAAAAAACTGAAACCTACCCCTCTAAGAACAGGAACAAGACAAGGATGCCCACTTTTGCCGCTCTCAGTTAACATTGTATTGGAAGTTTTATTCAGAGCAATTAGGCAAGAAAAAGAAATAAAAGGGATCCAAACTGGACAGGAAGAAGAGAAACTGTCACTATTTGCAGATGACATGATTTTATATATAGAAAACTCTAAAGAATCGAACAAAAACTATTAGAAATAATAACAAATACAGTAAAGTTGCAGGGTACAAAATCAACAGACAAAAATCAACTGCATTTCCATACGCTAACAACAAAATAGCAGAAAGAGAAATCAAGAATACAATCCCATTTACAATCACAACAAAATAATAAAATACCTAGGAATAAATTTAACCAAAGAGGTGAAAGACCTGTACGTTGAAAACTATAAAATATTGTTAAAAGCAATTGAGGAAGACACAAAGAAATGGAAAGATATTCCGTGCTCATAAATTAGAAGAATTAACATAGTTAAAATGTCCACACTTCCTAAAGCAATCTACAGATTCAATGCAATTCCTATCAAAGTCCCAATATTTTTCACAGAAATAGAACAAAGAATCCTAAAATTTATACGAAATAAGAAAAGACCCCGAATAGCCAAAGCAATCCTGAGAAAAAAGAACAAAGCTGGAGGTATCATACTCCCTGACTTCAAAATATACTACAAAGCTATAACAATCAAAACAGCATGGTACTGGCAGAAAAACAGACATACAGATCAATGGAACAGAATTGAAAGCCCAGAAATAAACCCACACATCTATGGACAGCTAATCTTCAACAAGGGAGCCAAGAACATACAATGGAGAAAAGAAAAGTCTCTTCAATAAGTGGTGTTGGGAAAACTGGACAGCCACATGCAAAAGAATGAAAGTAGACCAATATTTTACACCATACACAAAAATTGACTCAAAATGGATTAAAGACTTGAATGTAAGACCCGAAATCATAAAACTCCTATAAGAAAACATAGACAGTACACTCTTTGACATAGGTCTTAGCAGCATCTTTTTGAATACCATGTCTACTCAGGCAAGGGAAACAAAAGAAAAAGTAAACAAATGGGACCATCAAACTAAAAAGTTTCTGCAAGGCAAAGGAAACCATCAACAAAACAAAAAGACAACTCACCCACTGGGAGAGAATATTTGCAAATCATATACCTGACAAGGGATTAATCTCCAAAATATATAAAGAACTCAAAAACACTCAACAACAAAAAAACAAACCACCCAATCAAAAAATGGGCAGAGGATATGAACAAACATTTTTCCAAAGAAGATATACAGATGGCCAACAGGCACATGAAAAGATGTTCAACATCACTAATTATTAGGGAAATGCAAATCAAAACTACAATGAGATACCACCTTACATCTGCCAAAATGGCTATAATTACCAAGACAAAAAATAACAAATGTTGGAGAGGATGTGGAGAAAAGGGAACTCGCATACACTGCTGGTGGGAATGCAAACTGGTACAGCCACTATGGAAAACAGTTTGGAGATTCCTCAAAAAATTAAAAATAGAAATACCCTACAATCCAGCTATCCCACTACTGGGTATTATCCAAGGAACTTGCAATCAACAATTCAAAGAGATTTATGCACCCCTATGTTCATTTCAGCATTATTTACAATAGCCAAGATGTGAAAGCAACCCAAGCGCCCATCAACTGATGAACAGATAAAGATGTGGTATATATATACAATGGAATATATGTCTCAGTCATAAAAAAGACAAAATCGTCCCATTTACAACAACACGGATGGACCTTGAGGGTATGATGTTAAAGCAAAATAAGCCAGAGAAAGACAAACACCGTATGATTTCACTCATATGTGGAAGATAAACACATGGATAAAGAGAACAGATTAGTGGTTACCAGAGGGGAAGGGGGTTGGGTGGTGGGTATAAGAAGTAAAGGGGCACATATGTATGGTGACAGATAAAAACTAGACTATTGGGCGTGAGCACGATACAGTCTATACAGAAACTGACATATAATAATGTACACCTGAAATTACACAATGTTATAAACCATTACAACCTTAATAAAATAACTGAAAAAAAAAATAATTCAGTTCAAACAAAATGAATAAATCAAACAAAAACCAAAAAAAAAGCCAACCCTTCATTTAATCATCTGAGGTAAACTAAATTCTAGCTGTGGTTCAGAGTCAGTCTTCTAAGCACCAGGCACTGTTCCAAGTACTTTCACACAACATCACATTTAATCGAGATTCAGAAAAATAAGATTAAAAAAAACTAGCGTAAGTTCTGTCTGTAAAAGAAGTGCAATCTGATGTGACAGTTTGCCATAACATCCCTTCCCTGTTCTGATCACAAAAGTCCTCTTCTCTTTCTCTTTCCACGGTGGCCTGAGGCCTGCCATGCTCAGTCAATTAGTGTCCAGTTCCCTTGACCACAGGGATTCACTCAGTGATGGGCATGTGAACCAAGCTTGTCCAGGACCCTCTCTGCAACTTGCCTGCAAGAGATACCAAGGAATAAGCACTGTCTCTCTCTGCTAACGTTTCTTTTCTCATAGGATGAGCCTTGGGCTGCTGGCTGACATCATGCTCGCCTCGTGGGGAGGGCCTATCCAAGAGGTGGTGAGAATGGGTCTGACGCAGCTGTGTGTGATCACTGACCCCTGGAGCAAGAGGAACCATCAACTCTATCTGTGCACAGGTTAGCCAAGAAAGTTTCTGTTACTTTTGATGAATGTACATTTTTGTTTGTTTGTTTTTTGGTGAGGAAGACTGGCCCTGAGCTAACATCTGTCACCAATCTTCCTCTTTTTTTTTGTTTTTTTGTGAGGAAGATTAGCCCTCAACTAACATCTGTTGCCAATCCTCCTCTGAGGAAGAGCAGCCCTGGGCTAACATCCATGCCCATCCTCCTCTACTTTATATGTGGCACGCTTGCCACAGCACGGCTTGATAAGCGGTGCGTAGGTCCGCGCCCAGGATCCGAACCTGCAAACCCTGGGCCAACAAAGCGGAATGTGCAAATTTAACCACCACGCCACCAGGCCAGCCCCCCAATCTTCCTCTTTTTTTTTTTTGTACATGGGACGCCGCCACAGAGTAGCTCGATGAGCAGTGTGTAGGTCCGCACCCGTGATCTGAACCTGTGAATCCCAGGCCGCCAAAGCAGATACCACTAACCATGGTTAAATTTAACCAGATTTAACCACACTGTAGTGCAAATTTAACCACTACACCACCAGGCCAGCCCCTGATGAATGCACTCTTAATTGACATAGTAGGTAAAGTGTAATACAGATGAAAACAGTTCAAGTTATGTCTAAGAAAATAAAAATATTCCCTTAAAAAGTAGAAAAATCATGCTTTTTATTCATCAATAATAAAAATATAATCAAATTAAATAAATCTCCAACTCAGTAAGTGGGAATTAACATGTACTAGCAAATAAAGACTATATTTAATAGATAGCTTACTAAATGAATGTGGGTTGTGTCCATATTATTTTAATGTGGTTATGTTGTAAAGTTAAATTTGAGAGTACAGAAAAAGTAAAGCAAAAGGGTCAGATTCAATCCCAGTATACACCAGTTTAATTCACTTTCTTCCATGACAATACTTTTATAGCCTATACATAAACCAACTGACTACATAGAAAATGGATAAAATGTGTGTATGAAGGTATGCAGATCCACAAACATCGGTTCTGTAAAACATCTCAAAGCATCAGTCATACTAATATGTTGTTGTTGTTGTTAGTGCCTTCAAGTCGATTCCAACTCCTAGCGCCCTGTGTACAGTAGAGCGGAACCCTGCCTGGTCTTTCTGCACCGTCCTCTCATCTTCCCCGCTATATCAGACAATGCTCCTGCTGCTATTCATAGGGTTTTCATGGCCAATTTTCCAGAAGTGGATGGTCAAGCCCTTCCTCCTAGTCTGTCTTCGTCTGGAAGCTCCGCTGAAACCTGTCTACCGTGGGTGATCCCGCTGGTATCTGAAATATGGTTGGCAGGGCTTTCAGCATCACAGCCACACTCAGCCGCCACAGTATGACACCCGACAGACGGGTGGTGCAATTCCCTAATTGGGAAATGAACCCGGGCCACATGGTGCGAGTGCCAAATCTTAACTGCTGGACTACTATACTAATATATATGTCTTTTAAACAGCAAAATGAGCATATAACATTTATTAAAAACTTACCATCAGAACTTGTGAGAACAAAGCTTTCTGCTTGAGTTTGTTTCTTTATGCCTAAACTTTTTGGAAACCAGTGAAGATCTATCGGGTAGATATCATCAGGAAGCTTTACTATTTGACTTGTTTCCCTGGTTAACAAGTTCCACTTCACTATCTGGTGATCATCACTACATGAATACAGTTCTTCAGCAGTAGTCCAGCCCACACAGCTTACTAATTCTTGATGTGTCACCACGTTAAGGAGACATAAAACACACAAAAGTCTTAAGTCTTGATAAATAAAATAATTTGCACATGCAGATTATAAGAAGAGTATAAAATAGGGTCAAATGTTTCAAGCTTCTAAATGTATTTTTCATTTTATGACTTTCACATTTTTTCCACATTAAGGAAAATAAGCATCTATCAAAACAATTGTGAGAAGAATGGAAAGCAAGAAATCCAGATGCCAAAAGAGAAAAAAAGAAAGATTTGACTACATGAAAATTTTAAAATTGTCTTACAAAATACTCCATAAACAAGGCCAAAAGATACACAAAGACATCTGACACATCAAAAGGTATGAAAGAATCTACACTAAACTGTTGGGGAGAAGAGAACTACTTTTTTAATTTACATATATCTGTGCCATTTAAGTTATTAGAATAAGCATGTATTATTTTGATAAGTTTTAAAAAAACAAGTGTTAAAAAAGACTGAAATCTAACAGTAAAATACCCCCGTAAGCCATACATTATAATAACAATTTACCTAGAAAAAACCTACAGCTTAATTGCCGCAACTAAAGTCTTACCAAACTTTTTGACACTAAATTCAGGAATAATTCAATTACACTTTACTGCACCTACAAGGTACATAGTGCTGGATAAGATATGAACCCTATAATTCTTACTTTAACCCATTTTTTGGTCTCTGATTTATCAGGAGGATTTCTGTAAATTGAGGTGCTCAAGTAGCCCTCACTTCCCATCAGAACAGGCTGCTTACCCTAGCAGAACTGTGTATCTAGAGAAGGTATTTCAGTTTGTCACTTACAAAGGACACTTTCTCTTGCTTATTCTGGATATCTATATTATCAAATCATTCCTGACTGGGTTGTTTGTTCTCTTGTTATCGTATAATCTTTTTACTTCCTCCTATTCTCATCAACACTTTTTATTTGCTTATCTGAGCAATCAATAAACTCCAAGGAAAAAGAAAGAGATAATGTGCCATAATTATTCTGGGATGTTCTAAGATTTTTTTAATACTTCAAAATATGATAAATTAAGCAAATAACCAAAAAGGTAAAAAACAAATTATAGGAACATCTTAAGAGTCTGCACAAATAGATAATAAAGTGGCACTGGAATCCTTAGAACGCAAAATGTAATCTAAACAAAAGGACCTGGACATCACTAAACCATTACTGAAAAAATATTTCCGTTATAATTGCTGTAGCCTAAACAATGTTAGGTTAAACCTTCAGAAAGAGCAAAAATACACACACACACACACACACACACACACAAATCCCAAACAAAAAACATTAAGCTTATCTTTACATAAATTGCTGTAAGTACACATCAGGTGTTCATGACATATCTTCAAACTAATAGGTCAACTAAAATTATGGTAGAAATGAGAGGAGTGCCAGATTAAGAAAGTCTAAAAAAAAAGACTGTTATTCTTCAGCTTGAAAAGGTAAAAGCAGACAATGGACATAGTCAGGATCTTTAAGATTGTATATGGCATGAACTCCTGAGGGCACACTTTGAAAACAGAGTAAATATGATTTAAGGAGAAATAAAAGGAATTATATCTTCACTGAAAAGGTAAAATAAGCAGACAAGATAATATAAATTCAAAAAGTTTGATCAAAAGTCTAAATTAGTGCTTTTCTATCTCTGATAAAAGACATATTTTTCTTTATTTCAAATCTGTCGCAGATCAACATTTTGTAGGATAAAAATAAATTACTAGAAAAATGATCTTTGGATGTTGTGACAAAGTCAAATTGCTACAAAAATTTCTTACCTCTTACTTTCAATTTCTGTACTTAGCCTGTCACAGTCCTGCAATACAGTTCACAGGTGATACTTTTAGAAGCACTGGTCTAAATAACTAAGAATGAAGACAGAGGGGCCTATCATATCTTCCTGATGCATAACTGGGAATTCTTGCTGACAAAATATAGGGTCATGCATTTGAGAAAATATTTATAATTACCACCTTCCCACGTGAAATAATAAAGTCCTGATTGCTCAGATTTCCCCAGCTTGTCCTCCACTTTATCATCAGTATGAAGCAATAGAGAGCAGAACACAATGAAAACATACTAGTTCACACTAGCAAATAACTTATTTGGTTTAAAAAAAAAGCTTCTCTTTACGATCCTACTAGACTAAACATAAACTGTTTTTTATGTACTTAAGTACAGAACTTAAGTAGAGTAAGAAAAATGTCGATAAGAATTTGAAAGTAAGATTTAGAGCAAATAGTTTGCTTTGAAGAATTATCTGTAGCATACGATCTCAAATATTTCAAAAACAATTTAGCTAAACTATCATTAAAGGAATAAAAAAAGTCCATTGTTCAACTAGAATACAACGTAAAACTTTTAACAATACTATAGTAAGATGATCACAGTAAGGTTTATAAGTATTAAAAGGATATGCTTTGGTTCTTTTAAAAGAGAGATCTTCAGTCTCATGTCTCCACTTTCCAGCAAAATTTTAAAATGCCACTTGATTGTAATCACTGTAAATATAAAAGATAGGAGAAAAACGTAAAATCTGCATTAAAAACAAACACATGTACACAAAAAGATAAAAGCAAACAAAACATCTTAGCACCCCAAGGACACTAAAACACCTTTAATCCTGCCGGCATCAAATACATGGAATACTAGTCAGTGTGCTAATCCCGCCAAGGGGTGCTAGGAAGCCTTGGGTTGGACTCCAGAGGTCCTCTAACACCTGTTTGAAACAGTCTTACAAGGGCAGAACACCACTAAATCTAGTCAGGTAAATAATTTCCAAAGGCTGTAAGGAGGCCAAATCAAAAGATTCTATAAACCAGGAACCCCTCAATGGCAGATTAGTGTTGGTCCTGTTGAATGGATATACATTAGAATAAATCTCCAAGGTCTGATAGAGGGCTAAAATACATTTTTAAGGGCCTTAATTCTGGAATCCACATGGGAACATTATGATATCATCAACCTAGTGGTCCAGTCTGAGGTTTATATTCTATTGGAGGTAGATACACTGCCCAATAGAGGCAATGTGAAAAATAAGTGAGTTACTTAAGGAAGAGGTAATAAATACCTTATGTATTACTATTATAAGGTAATAAATACCTTATAAAAGTTATATAAACATCACGATGTAATTGCCAAATAAAAATTTGGAAAAAGAAAAGTAACACTCCCCCAAAATAACCACGTCATCAGAAGATACAAATCAAAAAAATGCTAAATTGTCTGAGTCCAATTTATAGTTACAGGATTCTTTCCGAGTAATATCACTAACCTAAAAAGAAAAAAATAAATGAAATGAAAGTGTAATTAAAGGAAAAAGAATCCTCTTTGCCAAGTAGAAAATTACTGCTAACTACATCAAAGGAGGTGCTGAGTATAGAAAGGAATTCAGTAGACCTCCCTTAGATAATTTCTCATTCCCCAAATGCAGGAAGACTTTTAGACACAGCTGTAGTTTAAAGCACCTTTTTCACTTATTCTACTCATAAATTTGTTAGACTGGGGTGGTAAAAACTGTTAAGACCACGGAAAAAAATCTGAAGTTTTATGGTCAGCCAGTATGCAACCTGGGTTAGAAACCTTCTCTCTCTTCCGTTCACTTAGGGAGATTCCTGTTCAACTTCAGAAGTATGAACTATGCACAGCAGCCAGAGCAAGAAGACACTCTCTCCTAGGCACACTTCCAAGGCTCACTTTTTGGTCCTTAGGAATTTCAGCACCTTTCTCAAAACTCCTTCCTCCTTCCTATCAGACCTCCTCCAATTAGAAGGGGGAAAAAGAGTAAAAACATTTACAAAATGCTGCTTTTTCATAATAATTCAAATTCACCCAGCTTATGAGGATTTTAAAAGAATAAAGGCAGATAAGGTATTGCTTCTGGAAATGACAACACAATAGACATGAAAAAATGTATAAAATCTGAATATACAATTACAATCAGAAACTTAAAAGATCTTTGGCAAAGGAATGGATGTATCCTACATCAAAATATCTCAAATTGCTAAAACCCATAATAATTAGGAAACATTCCTCACCAAAAGAAATCATAATCCCATATCAATAGTAAAGGCACTATGGTTTTTATGAGAAAGGAATCTGCAACCATTCAGAAACACGGTGCTGAGGAATCAGAGAAAGAGGAAGGACGGCATCCTAACACTGGGAAGATTCTCCCTTGCTCAGAAAGATCTTCCCCATACATCCTATTTAGTTGAGATCACCTGCATGAAGGATATGTGCATTATATGATCATCAATAGAGGAACAAGGAAAAAGTAGTATTAGAGCATAGCCAATTTGGGGAAGTGAATGAAAGCAGCTTGGATGAGGAAGGCAGTAGTGATATGATATGATAAATGATATGAAGTGGTCATACTATGAATATATTTTGAAAGAAGATTCCACAGGATTTGTTGACCAGTTGCGTTTAAGAGAAAGAGGAGTCAAAAATGACTCTAAGTTTCAACAGGTAGAATGGAGTTCCCATTTACTGAGATGAGGAGGACTGAGGGAGGACCAGGTTGGAAGGAATAATATAAAAAATTATGTTTTGGATATGTTAAGCTTAAGGTGACTATTAGACATTTGAATGGAGAACTCAAGGAGATATTGGATATATAAGTCTGGAGTGAAGAGAGAGGTTGGAGCTAGAGATATCAATGAGATATCAGTTTGAAGGTTGTCAGCACAAAGATCATATTCAAAGCCATGGGATAAGTTGAGACTTATCAACTCAGCAGAACATGAAAAGGTGGTAGCTTCAATGGCCTAGAGTTCCTATCGAAGTCTGAAGAATTGTCAGCATTAGGAGTCTAAGGGAAGTAAACTAGAGAAAACAAGTGGAGACATACAGACATTGGGATGTTTAAAATAGATTTGGCGAAAGAGTGTAGATATTGGTAATGATGAGGTAAGTTAACACTGTGGAAGTGGGTGGCCAAGGTTAAGGAACTGAGAGGTCAAGGAATGGAATGGATTGATTTGTGGATATTAAATCACTGAGAATTACGACAAGAATAGTGGCGGAGATAGTTAGCCAGATGCTAAAATATTCATTGAATGAAGAAAAACAGCAAAGAGATCTGCAGATGACTGCAAAACGGCACGGTAGATTTATTTCAAAGGGACTAGGGGATTTTAGAGAGGAAGGGGAAAGAGAATCAATTGTCCAGATATACTAATGAGAAAGAAGCAAGGCCCTTTGACACACAGGAGTCTGGGAGGAAAATAGCCTCCACCTGAGAGGGCCATGGGGAAAGCAGATTCCTTAGGAAACAACTAGATTCAAGTAGACCTCGAAGGTAAACGGATCATTCGGAGTAAAGGCTGAGCACACAGATTTGGCCAATGACACACTGTGAGTTTCAAAAGGTAGACTGGTACGATTTAGATGGGGAAGAGCTAAGAGTTTGGGGTAGATGGTGGGAAATGGTAGAAACAGCTGGCTGTCCTCCAATATTCATTCATCCCTGCTTCTGTGGTAGAAGAATCTGAATTTTTGCTGCACACTTGGCCACCTAGTTAGACTACGTTTCCAAGCTGCCCTCAAAACTAGGTGTGGCCACATAGGGCATTAACAGTTCTGAAACCCACATGGGGATATTAAAACATCATCAACCTAGTGGCCCAATCTGGGATATACATTCTGTTGGGGGTAGATAACACTGCCCAACAGTAATGGTTACCCACAGCGGCAATATGAAAAGCAAATAAGTTACTTCAGGAAGCCATTTTATTACCTCTTATAAAAGTTATATACATCACAGCATAATTGGCAAATAAAAACTTGGAAAATAAGAGGAACGCTCTCCATGCCATGCCATCAATGTCATGTATAACACAGCAACAAGACAGAAAGAAGCAATATTCTTTACCTTATAGGGAGTCTTATCAGTCCTATACCACCCGTTCAGACTTTTAAATGATAGAGAATAAATTTTATCCTAAGTTACTGTTATCAACAGCTAAACCTAACAATAAACTAACGCGAGGAATTAAGAGTCTTGAATGTGGAGACTAAGGTAAACAAGGATGTAAGGTATGATGGAATAGTCCCAATGGTCTCTTAAGGGAAGGTGGATAATCAATTTAAATTGTAGCCTTCTTCCTGGAACTGGTCTCTTAGGTAGTCTGTAGTGTTGATGCAGAGTTTTGTAAGGTAAAAGGGGCAGTGTTGCTAGGAGCAAATGGAACTGTGGGATTCCTTTTCAATCCAGCTAAGGTGTTAGGATTTACTTCAATAGGCAGGTTAGGGAAGGAAAGGAATTGCAGAGTTATAGAGGGAATAAATATCCCCAAGTTTTTCTCCTAATTTCCCCAACCTCAAACTGTGGGCTCAGTCCTTGTACCTTTTCTATATGTATACTCACTGCCACAGTGAACTCACCCAGTTTCATGGCTTAATCTAAATTTAAATATATTGACTACATAGTGACAACTCTCAATTTCATATTTCCAGTTCAGACCTCTCTATTGAACCCCAGACTTTTATATCTGATTATTTGACAACTATCTGAATGTCTAACACACATCTCAGACTTAAGATCCAAATCAAACCCCTGATCTTTCCTCCACTGTTGCTCCTCCCCTAGCCTTACCCATCTCAGTAAACAGCTATTCCAATTCTTCTCACTACAGAGGCCAAAAACCTTGGAATAATCGCTGACTCTTCTCTCACATCCCAAATCCAATTTGGAAAAAACAAAACCTGTACGCTCTATCTTCAAAATATCTGATTTTCGGGGGCAGCCTGGTGGCGCAGCGGTTAAGTGCACGTGCTCTGCTTTGGCGGCCCAGGGTTCACAGGTTCAGATCCCGGGCGCACACTAACGTACCACTTGTCAAGCCAAGCTGTGGCGGCGTCCCATATAAAGTAGAGGAAGATGGGCATGGATGTTAGCCCAGGGCCAGTCTTCCTCAGCAAAAAAAAAAAATATCTGATTTTCCCCACCCCCACTGCTATGACCCCAGTCCAAGGTGCCATAATCTGTTAACCTGAATTACAATAGCATCCTACTTGGCCTCCTACCCCCTCACAATCTATGCTCACCACAGCAGCCAAAGTGACTGTTTTAAAACAGATCATGGCACTTGTCCACTCAGAACTCTGCAGTGGCTTCCTATCTCTCTCAGAGCTATAACAAAGTTCTTACAATAATGTTCAAAGCCTTTATTGATCTGGACTCCTATTGTGATGATTAATTTTATGTGTCAACTTGGTTATACAATGGTGCCCAGTTATTTGGGCAAACACTAGCCTAAATGTTGCTGTAATGTATTTTTTAGAGGTTATTAACATTTACAGTCAGTTGACTTTAAGTAAAGCAGATTACCCGGCATGATGTGGATGGGCCTCATCCAATCAGTTGAAGGTCTTCAGAGTAAAGACTAAGGTTTCCCAAAGAAGGAGGAATTCTGCCTCCAGATTTCAACACAGAAATTTTGCCTGAGTTTCCAGTCTTTGGACTCAAAACTACAACATCAACTCTTCTTTCTCTCTC